GAATTATCGAGTTCTTGGATTACAAGATCTTTGAATGAATGAGTCCATAGATCACATGCTCTTTGAATTAAAGAGTCCTTCGATTACAAGGTATTTGAATTGACGAGTCCTTGGATCAAATGGTCTTCGAATTGATGAGTACTTGGATCACAAGATTTTTGAATGAATGAGTCCTTGGATCACAAGATTTTTGAATGAATGAGTCCATGGCTCACAAGGACTTTGAATTAAAAAACACTTTGATCGCAAGGTCTTTGAATTAAACAGTCCTTTGATCACAAGATCTTCGAATTATCGAGTTCTTGGATTACAAGATCTTTGAATGAATGAGTCCATAGATCACATGCTCTTTGAATTAAAGAGTCCTTCGATTACAAGGTATATATGAATTGACGAGTCCTTGGATCACAAGCCCTTTGAATTAATGAGTTCTTGAATCACAAAAGTCTTTGAATTAATGCGTCCTTGGATCACAAGGTTTTTGAAGTAAACAGCCCTTTGATCACAAGATCTTTGAATTAACGAGTCCTTGGATCACGAGATCTTCGAATGAATGAGTCCATGGATCACATGGTCTTTGAATTAAAGAGTCCTTTGATCGCAAGATCTTTGAATTAAAGAGCCATTTGATCACAAGGTTTTTGAATTAACGAGTCCTTGGATCACAAGCCCTTTGAATTAATGAGTTCTTGAATCACAAAGTCTCTGAATTTATGCGTCCTTGGATTACAAGGTCTTTGAAGTAAACAGCCCTTTAATCACAAGATCTTTGAATTAACGAGTCCTTGGATCACGAGATCTTCGAATGAATGAGTCCATGGATCACATGGTCTTTGAATTAAAGAGTCCTTTGATCGCAAGATCTTTGAATTAAAGAGCCATTTGATCACAAGGTTTTTGAATTAACGAGTCCTTGGATCACAAGCCCTTTGAATTAATGAGTTCTTGAATCACAAAGTCTCTGAATTTATGCGTCCTTGGATTACAAGGTTTTTGAAGTAAACAGTCCTTTGATCACAAAATCTTTGAATTAATGAGTCCTTGGATCACAAGATCTTTGAATTAATGCGTCCTTGGATCACAAGGTCTTCGAATTAATGAGTCCTTCGACTAGAAAATGTTATTAGGAATGTTGAATCTTTGGGTCACAGGTCGTTCGAGTTCTTAGATCTTCAAATTATAGCACATTTGGACCTTCAAATCCTTGGATTGAACATTCTTGAAAACTGTATTTTCACATTTCGAATGACGAGACCCTCTGAATCTCAAAATCATTGAATAATAGGACTTCGAGACCGTGAATTTTTGAACGACGAGACTTTGCAGGGCTCCGAATATTCGAATAACGGAGACCGTTGTGTCTTCGAATACCTGAACTATGGATTCTCTGGATTCGTAATGTTTCGAACGAGGATGCCTCTACGATTTAGCAAATTACCAAAGGTCGAACGTTTGGAAAGGAGGATGATGGGATCCTCGAAGTCGATTGGACGTCGATGGTACTTACTGCAGGCATTCTCGTCGGATTCGTCCTTGCAGTCCGGTTTACCGTTGCAGAAGAGCTCCTTGTCGACGCACTCGCCGTTACCGCACGACAATTTCCCCTCGGGGCAGACCGGTTCGTCGGTCCTCAGGATGGGCAAGACCTTACGTGGCTCTGCAAACGTAACACTCGTTAGCGGGGCCGGTTCCCGCGACCTCGATGTACACCAACCATATCGTTACTATTGGTCCGTTTGACGTTTACCGCAGGGTGTCGTAGGCCTACTTTCATTTCTCCCCAAATTTATATACAGAGATTACACAGCGGCGCAGGAATCGCAATCTACTTGGATCGGGGGACGAGTCGCGCGACTGGCACAGACCAATTAACCCTTTGCATTTGAGAGGTGACTCCACGGCACCGCTAAAAATTCTTTCGTCGCGTTCCAAAATAATTTTCGAAAATTCTACATATTCTAGTTGTACGTATTCCAAAATTGTACATATTTAACACTAAACCCACCGAGCACTAAAAATGTCCAACATAAGTTGCTTTATAGGATTTACAGGACTTTTATTTAGACATTTTACCATTATCGTAGACTTAAATTTAAAAAATTGTTCAACCATTTCTTATGAGAGACACTTTATAATTTCAACAATCTTAAAATAAACAATGTGGAACCGGTCATTTTGTTCGGTGCGGTAGGTTTAGTATTAAAAAGCTGTTACAATACTCAATTTCACCTGCATAAAATGCACTAATTATATAAATCACAGAAGATGGAAATCTTCTATTTAAACTTGAAATGTGTCCGAGTGCAAAGGGTTGAAAAGAACGACCGCGAGGAAATGATCGAAAACAACAATAGAAATTCTTCCTCCGTCTTTCGAGTTTTTTCGATCGAAGTTCAGAACCGTGTTACGGTGTCTGCATTGGCTTGTTTTTCTACACGTCTTGTGAACAGACAAATTGTTTCCAATTACGAGGCTCGTCACAAACGCAACGCAATTAACCCTTCGCGGCGGACAGTTCCCACGGAAAACGATCGCTGCCGATCGATCGGCAGCGACCGTCACGTTGACACCGCAGTTTCTAGGTCGATCCGCAAAGGGTTAAAGCCGTCGCGTGCTGAATTAATGTTTACCCAAGTCCAAAGCTACGGTACCTCTCGCCAACTCAAGTATTAATTATCAAACTAATTACCTCTTCTACGGAGGATTGCAGTTTACGTCGTCTAATATGTACACGCAAACTTTCTATGTACACGTGTGACTTGAGCTCGACGCTCTCGTGACCGTCCAACCAGTAATTCGCGGAAATGCAACTCGAATAATCGGTCACGAGAGCGTCAATAAATTCGATTGCCGGGAGAGTTCTTTCCACGAAGTCGATGAAAAGCGATTCGTAGCACAATTTTTGCATCGAGATAAAATACATTAAAAAATAAAAAGTGTAGAGGAAATGATGGAAAATGACGCGTCCGCGCCGCCGGGAAAGAACTTTCCGATCAATCGTCGGTATATCATGTCGTCTGTATATTTCGAGTGACCGAGTTGTTCCTACGCCACTGGCTAAGAGCGTCGTTTCTACAGCCGATTGTTCGCCGGTTCCGTTTCTCTTTCGTTCGGGGACCGGATCTGGTTTTGCCGGTTGGCAGCTTGCGACGGGAAGATGCAAAACGACCCCGCGATGGGCACGAGAAACGCCGAAAGTTTCTCTTTCGTGCGAAAACGGAGCATCGTCGAAAGTTTTTCCGCGCGAGAGAGGCGACGATTTCTCCTCGGATTCCACCATCGGAAACCATCGAGAGATCGATCGTTCGAGCCTCGAAACTAAAAAAAAAAACTCGCCGACGGGCAAAAGACGATCCGCCGGGAGGAACCGTCGCTAGGGGAGACAAGCTTACAATTCGAGCCGAGATGGTGGATTCGGCTCTTTGATTTCGTGGGCTCGCAGCGATTCGCACGCAGGCAACAGAACACGTGAACAGAAAAACATTTAGGCGATTTTTTTTTGTTTTGGAAATGATGGCGAGAACAGTAATAGCAGAAGAATTCAGGTGACGGGCTCCCTTGCGTTTTCATTTCGCCGTAGAGAGACGCGAGTTTCGGGGGACTCAACTGCTCCGATCTTTTTCGTATAATTTTGCGCAACCAGTGTTTCGAAGGCGATCATTCTGCTTAATCGTCGATGTTGTTTATCAAATTTCAATTACGGTGAATTTTTCTTAAAAAAGAAAAGAAAAACGAACTATCCTTAAAAACGTAGCAATTGTCGCGATTTTACAAGAAAGAAGCATCGCAAAACATGTTTTTATCTATTTTTGCTTTCAATATTTTAACGCGACGAACCCTTTGTGTTACAAAATTAAAATGGAAAGTGATAACTAGATTGCGGATTTTATGCATTCGTGAAAAAAAAAGAATGAATTGCAAGCAAGACCGTGAAGAAATTACAAAGAATTTAAGGATATTGCTGCATTATTTTCAATTTATTACGATCGTTAAAAAAGTAAAGATATTTTCATGTAATTTATATTTCTTCAAATGAACTCGGACAATATTTATCTTCCATAAAAATCCGCGATCTAGTGATAACTATCGAACAGAGAGAAGCAAAGTAACAAATGGTACTCGTTACGACAGAAAACGTTAAAAGTTTACCATCGTCGTTGGAAAAACATCGTCGAAAACCGCGAGAAGTTACTGCTCCCGGCTTGAAGAAACGCGAGGATTATACATTCGATTACATAAAGAGCAGCCTTGGAAGCCGTAAACTTTCAAAAGTCCGAGACGAAGCTGCAACAGCGAGTTTCCCCCCTCTGATTGCGCGAGGCTTCTCCCCTGTTGCATCTTACAAAGGGCTGCTTCGAAACGGCGCAATCGGAGCAATTAAATCTGCTGGGACGAGTCGTCTCTGCGACTGACGAGTCTGTTCGTCTGGTCGAGCGTGAGAAAGAGGTCCCGAGGGAGAAGAGAGAAGTAAAGACAGAGTGACAGAGATGATGAGAAAAGCCTCGCGCGGGGACCAGAGCTGGATGACAGCCGCGAGGACGAGATGAAAATTGGAATGAGAGACAGAGATCAGAGAATGAGACACAGAAGTCAGAGAGTGAGACGTAAATATATAGAAATCGGAGAGTTAGATATAAATGTGTAGAAATAAGAGAGTGAGATGTAAATATACATATAGAAATAAGAGAGTGAGATATAAAATATACATATAGAAATAAAAGAGTGAGACATATATTTATAGAAATAAGAGAGTGAGACATAAATTTATAGAAATAAAAGAGTGAGATATAAATATTTAGAAATGAAAGAGTAAGATATAAATATACAGAAAAATAAGGGAGTGAGATATATAAATTTATAGTAATAAGAGAGTGGGATATAAATATACATAAAAATAAAAGAGTGAGATATAGATATATAGAAATAAGAGAGTGAGATATAAATATATAGAAATAAGAGAGTGAGACATAAATTTACAGAAATAAAAGAGTGAGATATAAATATTTAGAAATGAAAGAGTAAGATATAAATATACAGAAAAATAAGGGAGTGAGATATATAAATTTATAGTAATAAGAGAGTGGAATATAAATACATAAAAATAAAAGAGTGAGATATAGATATATAAAAATAAGAGAGAGAGATATAAATATATAGAAATAAGAGAGTGAGACATAAATTTACAGAAATAAAAGAATGAGATATAAATATTTAGAAATGAAAGAGTAAGATATAAATATACAGAAAAATAAGGGAGTGAGATATATAAATTTATAGTAATAAGAGAGTGGGATATAAATATACATAAAAATAAAAGAGTGAGATATAGATATATAGAAATAAGAGAGTGAGATATAAATATATAGAAATAAGAGAGTGAGACATAAATTTATAGAAATAAAAGAGTGAGATATAAATATTTAGAAATGAAAGAGTAAGATATAAATATACAGAAATAAGGGAGTGAGATATAGATATATAGAAATAAGAGAGAGTGAGATATAAATATATAGAAATAAGAGAGTGAGACATAAATATATAGAATTAAGAAAATGAGACAAAGATGTATAGAAAGAGGAGAGTGAGACATAAATATATATAGAAACGAGAGAATAAGACGTAAATTTATATAGAAATAAGAGAGTAAGATATAAATATATAGAGACAAGAGAGCGAGGCATAAATATATAGAAATACGGAGAGAGAAGAGAGACAGAAGGACGTTGATAGAATGAAGAGAGAAATAAATGATCGATAGCCGCGCTATTCGCAGCCGAAGCGAGCTCCGAGACTGAATAACGAGGAGCTCTGGTGTAAGGAGGCCAGATCGTCGAAGCGAAACCGATCTAGATGCAGAGAGACAGAGACAGAGACAGAAAGTGTGTGTGTGTGAGAGAGAGAGAGAAACAGAGTGAGAAGTAGAGAGAGAGAAACAGAGTGAGAAGTAGAGAGAAAGATCGGTGAAGAAACAGAGTGACAGGGACAGACAGAAAGAGAAAGAGTCGGCTAGAAGGGTAGAAGAAGAAGAAGAAAAAGAAGAGAAAAATAATAGGAGCGAGATCAGCGATCGAGAACGTGCTACCTCGTACCTGGTGCGAGGAGAAAAGAATTTTATACGTTTGCTCGCGCGTATATGTATGTGTGTATGTGTGTGTGTGTGTGTGTGTGTGTATACGTAAGTACGCGTGTCTGCGTTTGATAATATATGTACAGGTGTAGAGCGGATTTTATTGTAAAGCTAAAAAGCGGTTGCGTGCCAGGCGTCGATTACGAGAGACCGTGGAGCAATATTTTGAACGGCAACTTTTCCTTTTGTTCACCGTCGCGGATACAAAATGGCCGGACGTCATGGTGCCGGTTTTTCTTGCCGAACAAAAGGATCGGGGCAAAAAGCCGTCCCGAACGCAGTTGCGACACATCGATTTTGCGACAGGTTCGAGGTCTTTTTTTGCGGTTTTCTCGACACTCCGAGACACGGGTATAGTGATCGAGGCTGGATACGGTAGTCGGCAGACTCCTGCATCGCGCGGTTAATGCGTTGCACGTTGCATGAATTCGCGTTTGAGGAAATCTTGCCCGTATTAACCCTCGCATGGCGGTGGCTAGGTCGATTTCGGCCCAGAGCATTGGAAACGTTCGCTCGATCGATCGATTTTCGGCGAAATCAAATCAAATCGAATAGATTTAAATCGAATAAATTATTGCCGTTGCATTAGGAAAAACAGAAAGGCCAATAAATTTGCAAGGAATATCTCGAGAAATACGTTTCGAAAAATTGCCGAATAAAGCTGAGAATTGTTATAAACATCGTCGATATTACAGTTGTGAAAATGATCCGCCGCGCGAGGATTAAAAGTGGCAGAAACAACGAAAGCAACGAAGTTCTCAACTGAAGCAGATTTAATTCTCGAATGTGAGTAACTCGTGTTCTTTATCGTCCGACGCGTTGTACAAAAAGTCGCGTTACATGAGAACAGTTAGTCGCAATCTCTTCGGCGCGTTGCAGGAATTCGCGTAACACGGGAGTTTACACTAATTACGTTATCGCGAACGAGCTGAGGAATTTGCAAGAGTCTGGAATGTCTCTAGAAATGCTAAGCAGCGATAAAATCCACGTCCACGATAACATTCTAAGCGAATGAACTCTTGTAAGAAAATCGTGGATCACGGTGCAAGTATCGAAGTTCCCGGACCGAGATAAATCGGAGATTCCGCGATCGACCGTGCTCTTTCGAGCCGTGAAAGAGTTCGCAACGAGAACGGTCTCAAGGGGAAGAAATGGCTCGGCCCACGGTGAGCCCTCGAAAGCGACGAGCCGGCCTGGAAAGCGACAAATCGAGCAAGCCTTTTTTTCCACGGATCGTGAGTAGTGCGTGTGGAATATATTTTCACGGTTGTTAGTCGAGCAAGGTGAGTCGACGGGACACCGAGCGAGCCAGGGGAGCAGGAAGAAGGTGGGTGGCTTCGAAACTGGGTTAGAATATAATTCGAGAGCGACCGCTCGCGAGAGCTTCTCGTCTCCGCGCCACGTCGCGCCGCGGACGCGAGCGCACTTTCGCTCAAAATCGAAACCAGTCTTGGAAACCGGCGAATCGAAAGTGGCCGGACCGGAGATTACAGCGTCTCTCGAAAGTGACTTACGTGCACGGTGCCGTTCGGAATCAGTCGAACGAGCTGACCGGCCACCGGCCATTCAAAGCATTCTCATTTTTCTAGCTTCGGAGCCAAAGAATGATTTTTGGGAGAATTCCGACCGAATCGTACAGCTACTTCTCGAATTTCTGAACCACGTGGATTCGAAGGAAGCGGAGATCCGAGATCGGAGAGAAGTGATCCAGAGGCCAGGTCACAAGTCGAATTTTTGCGGCGGAATTTAATAAATTGTTGCAGCGGAATTTGACAATTGATTGCAGCAGAATTTAACGAATTGTTGCAGCAGATTTTGATCAATTTCTGCAGCAGAATTTAATGAATTTTCACGGTCGAATATTGCGTTCGATGGTTCAATATTGAAATTGTTTAAGGAATTCTTCGATTCGAGGATTCTACAACTACGTAGATCTGTACGAGGGTTCGAAGAACTGTACCGAATAAAAGAAACGTTGCACCGAAGAGAGCGTGCGTCTTCCGGCTCGAAATGGCGGAACAAGTTCTCGAAGTTAATCGGCGAAAGATTTCCGAAAGATTCATGGTGAAAGAAACGCGTTGATCTTTCGAGAGTGAGCTTGTTAATTAGGAAATTTAGAAAGCTGTAATCCGGAGAACAGCTCGTTCGAGCCGTTCGAATAATTACGGCACGGACGCCGGCACATTTTCACTTTCAGCTCGCGACCGACGCGGCCATTTTTGCGTCGTTCGCGTTACGTTCTGCCACCGGCGATGCAACGTACGAGATAAGATTGTTGCAACGTCGGCGCAGGAAACGCGGCGAAGCAACGTGTCCGACGCCGATTCTCGAATCGCGTCCAGTCTTTCGCACTTCTTTTTTTTTTTATCGTCGATTCTATCGTACACCGACTTTCCAACGACGGATTACGCCACAAAAACGTATAAAAATCTCCGCTGTAACGGTCATAGGTAGACGAGGAGACGAGAAGAGCCGAGGGGGTGAGTCAAGATAAGTACGTGAGAGTAATCGTGCGTTAGTAGAATTACGAATGGTGCGTGCTACGTTGCGAGTCTACGAAAGGACCGGGCAACTCCGTTTCCTCTGCAACATTTCCCAGCATCCTTGACCTTGGGACGCAGCGAAAATGTTCAGTAGCTCGCGCCTCTTCCTCGAAAATACGTCTAAGCGAACGTTGCCTCTGCAAACTGCCTCGAAACCGGACAAATCTGCCGGGAGGAATGTCAAACGGGTCTCGGTGGTTTGCAGAGGCGACGGTGAACGCAGTTCCGCAGGAAAAACGGCGGCGGAAACGGAGACACCGGCCCGGTCCGGCCTGGTCGATGCATCTCGACTTACTCTCGAGCTTGTCACAGTTGGTGACTTTGCCCTTCCAGTCGCAGGTCTGTTTGTCCAAGTCAAAGGCCAGTCCGCTGGGGCACGTGATTTGCTTCAGGCCGGACTTCGTGCACCTGTTCGATCCGGACAGAAAGAAAAAACGGGGCGTTCTTTAGTCAAACGGTTCCGCAAACGTTGTGCTTACTCTCGAGCTGGTCGCAGTTCTTCACGTTCGTCTTCCAGTCGCAGGTCTGCCTCTCGATGTCGAACGCCAGCCCTGTCGGACAACGCACCGTCGCCAACCTGGTCACGCCGATCTCGCTGGCTTTGTCGCATCTGCGGATTTCACGGTCTTTTGTTTCACTTTCTCGGATCGGGCATAATAACTTTCGTTGCCGATCTCATCGGCTTCTATGGTTTGCGTCGGAGGCTCTATTTGCATCGTGTCTATTGCTTCGAAAGTACTTTTGCTGGCAAAATGATTATTTTCCCGAGGGTTTCATCCCTTTTTTCGAATGCATCGTAACAAAGGGAAATTAAATATATTTTCATTCTCGAAAATATCTCAAAAAAATCTACATGGTCACCTCTTTCCTCTGTATAATCGAAGTGTCGATCGTTCGATGATGTTCACGGAATACAATTTAAACAAATAAACGGTTTAATCAAAATTCGTCAAATAGACACTTGGGCATTGATTAAACGATTCTATCAAATTGTGCAGTCAAATGCGTTTGTCAATGTCCAAAACACAGTATTCAACATACAATTTCATAGATAATTAATTAAATAGATCGCGAATCTTTATGCAAAATAAAAATTGTCCGCATCAATTGCAGGCCATAGGATCCAAGCACTAGTTTTTTTCTTTCGTTAATAATGTTAATAAACTCGAGTTAATGCATCGACATTCTTAGTTTCTTTCAATCTTCACCCTGTTTTAAATCGTACCTACTCGTTTTTACCATAAACGCATAAAATTGCACGTTTACTTGTAAGCTATCTATTTGGAAATTACTTCTGCAACGACCGATTAATTCTTTTGTAAATGTCGAGGGAGATTCGAACTGAGAAGAAACCTGGAGAGGGCGATAGCTTCGAGCAGAATAAAATTCTTGAAAGGACACGCAGGATTCCCGAGCTGCTCCTGATCCGCGGAGGCGTCCTTGAGGACGGAAATACACGCTCGAGTGAGTCAGGATACGCGGCGTGTCGTCATTAAGCTGGAAGGCGAGTCCTGTATCCGGTATCAGGCTCGCCTTGAACCTTCGAACGCGGAATTCGATCGCCGAGGAACCGGAGGAATTCGCCATTTTTCTTTCCCCACGCCTCTACCGACTTGTTGGCAACAGCCTAGGCTGCTTTACCGTTAACTACGCCGGCTCCTCGACATGTTTTATACTTGCGACGTCCTTCTGGACTCATTTTACCGCGATTCGAATTTCCTGTACGCGATCCGACCCTTTCACTTTGTTAACCCGGGAATTTCAACATTCTTCGGTTCGAGAACAGCTGTCGTTAGCCTTAGAATAACCACAATGCTGTTTCACGCTTCCTGCTTCGGCCAGGTTACTTTAGAAATTCATTTCTGGTCAACAATTTCAGATCTGGTATGATAATGATGAATTCTACTGGTCGCGAGAGCGAGAAACTATGAACCAATTATGTATAAATTCAACCTTGCGTCTTTAACCCCTTGCACTGTAATATCGTGTCAGACTCGTAGAATAGACATCGAACAGAGTTCGTAAAACATTATAAATTTATAAATTTCATTTAAACCAGGTGTTCATAGCAAAATGGAAAAGCGGTATAATAATTAATTTTTAAGGTTGTACCTTCATAACCCTTATAGAAAGTGAAATTCGAGGATACCGGTGTATCCACCTGCATTTACCGGTAATTTCTCCCGTTTTTATGCAAAATAAAAATTATCTGCATCATTTGCAAGAAATCGAAACTAAATAGCAAGTTCTTTGATAATAATTTGAGTCAACCTAAAATTATACAGTTGACACTTTTTAATTCTTTCAATCTTTCTAGCGTTTTAAATTGAAATTACTCAATTTTCTTATAAATTCATAAATTTCGCAGTCTAATGATCACTTTTGTCACATGTATCTCACTTGCTCAATAATCTCTATGAACTAATGAGTTTACCCGTTTACGAATAAATAAATAAATTAACACAATTATCGAGTTAGAAATGTTCGCAAAATGCTGAACTCGTTGTTACAGGACAAAGGGTCGAAAACGATTGCTCGGTCTCTGAATTAGGCGAGAAAAATAGATAAGAATAGTGCAATGTTTACCTCACGACATCTCGACAGTCTCCTTCGACGTTCAACCGGAAGTATTCATCGCCAGGGCGGTCCTGGCAGAGTTCTTCGGCGTTCGCGTCGAGTCCGTCCGAGCCCTCGTCATCCTGGGCTCTGACCAGCGTCCCTGAACAACAAGAAATTATGTCAGTATAGCGAATGAAATAATGCTTATCGGCTGTTATTCAATCGGCATTTATCGACTATTTTTCTATCGGCATTCATCGACTATTTTTCTATCGGAATTTATCGACTATCTCAACCCTTTGCACCCTTTGCACTGTTCGCGGTGTCTTAGAGTCACCACTCGTGTGCAAACGGTTAATTTAACAGCGTATTCGAAACGTCCATTAAACGTTCATGGCGGAGAATAATTCAGAAAGGAGAGACTTTATCATCCCTCCACCCCTCCATCGACAATTACGTACTTTCTATAGACGATTACATAAACGACTCTCAATTTACGAGCACAATCTCTAAAGCGACCGCGCGATCAATAGAATACTTCACGCCTTTCTACGCTACTCGAGAAAAAGTCCTCGCCCACGTACACACACGTTGCCACGTTCTTCCTTTCAAGAAAGAAAAAGTTGCTTCCTTTGTAGCAAGAATCACGAAGAAACCGGTTTACAAATAAGATCGAACCTAACCCCGACAGAAATAGCTGTCTAACCGTGATACCATACATATTTATTACACTGATAATAAGAAGAAAGACAATGGCGACACTTAGAAAATAAAATAATCGTCGTTCGAGCTGCGAAAATAAACCATCTGCTAATACAAGAAATCGATACAAAGATGAACGTGTGGATTTCAGAAAAAATACTACAAAAATATGGAAACACACAGAACGAACTAAATTGTTCCTTACAAAATTCCAATGTTGTTAAGCAGAATGCTTTTTCAATGCTTTTCGTGAGGGAAGGAACGCCGACTGGCTAACTGGCTGCGCGACCGTGAAAAGCACTGAAAAATCATTCTGCCTAACAACACTGCAAAATTCTGTGTTATAAAATTCACAAGATTGATTAATTATTTATAGTTCCATTTATAGATCCCTTTATAGCAAAAGGAACCTTTTGGTTGGCAACGAAAATTTTCTCTTGATCCCGATTCTCGTTAAATCCTCCACAAAATGCTTCAGGAGATCCTGCAGAAAAATCGATTCGATAGTCAGGACCACGAGGAAACGTTTTCCATAGAAAGTAACCAGCCTCGAGTTCGATAGAGGAGGCCAAAGGGCACGGAGACAGCGTTGTCTCTGACATTTGAATAAAAAGGGCAGGTTCTCTGGTCGCCTCGGGACCGACCGCGGAAAATGTCGCGATCGCCGCGAGCGCGCCACGATCCAGGGAGATCGTGGAGACCGAGAGAACACGTTCGGGGTCGCTGAACCCCCCGTAGAAGTAGAAAGTCTTGGAAATGTCAGGGCAACGGCGACGGGGGTGGGGAGGGAAGCGACAGCGGTTCTCCAAAGTAGGTTCTACGACCGTCCCTACTCGTAACTTTTCGTCGGGGACGGCCGACGCCGACTTCTGGGACGTCGACCGTGCCTTCTCGATCCCCCTCGATCGTGATCCGCGATCCTGATTGCCGCTTCCGGACCGTCGGACCTCGCGTCGGCGTCTTTCGTTAAACTTTCACGTCCGCGCCGCGCCGCGCCGCGCCGCGATGCGATGCGATGCGATGCGCCAATCACTTCGAATTAAAGTCTCGTTCGCCGGTTTTTCCGGCTTTTTGAACATTTCTTTGGTTTGGTGGATCCAGCAGCTTTCTCGTTAATGGAGAAAAATAAATGATTGAGGTGAAGGGGGTGAACTGAACGAGAGGCGTTACCGAGTAAAATTGACCGCAGAAGCAATCAAGTAAAATTAAGAAGTCTGCTTGAGTTTCTGTTATGATTATATACCGCGGATTTTGTATACACTTATGGTAAAAATGAGAGGCTGAATTATAAAATTGTGAAGACGCAAGAACAATTTAATTATTTTATTACGCTACTTTCAACTGATCAAGATTATTAAAAGAAGCAATTTAATATTTTTGTAATTTCTGTTTCTTAGGCAGAATTTCGGTTTCTTTAATTCTTACAATTAAAACGTACATTTAAGTAGGCAGAATTGAGAACGATGTGATAATTAAAAGAAACTAAGAATCTCGATGCATTAATTTGAACTTATTAAAATTACTAACGAAATAAAAAAAACTAATACCTGGATCCTATATTCGGCAATTGATGCAGACAATTTTTATTTTGTATAAAGATCCGCAGCCTATTTATGATGCTTTCGATCAGAATAATGTTGTATTTTGTATTTGTTTTGAAAGAGTTAGTATCGATCGAAAGAGCATTTGAAGTGGTGTTTAATTGTGTGTTGCAGTAACGTAATGCTTGTTTTTAGAGGGTTTACGTACATCGAAGATGGGAGAAGGCGTCTAGAAAATTTCATTTCTTAGAGCTTAATCGATTAAAATTAGAAGAAACTATTCTACCAGGCTTCGGTAACGCGGGGCAACGTTGGTTCTGAAACGATAGATCGAGAATTGTTTGACAGAGAAGGCTTGGAACACAACCTGTTGCACACCGGAGCGAAACGCGAGGTCTCCAGGTGTCTCGCTGCGCTCGCACGCATCTCGACGTTCTAAATTCCCGAGCAATTACTACAAAGATACCTTAACATTTCGACACATTTCGTTCACTTCTCTCGACTCTCGGGCATCGTTTGAACGCACTCTGCGAATTTTTCTGCCGTTAAGAAAGCGTGCAACATATGGTCGAAGTGTACCTCGAGTCACTCGTGAAGTCGAAAGAAGAAAACGAACGAGAACGAAGCAGAAATAACCATTAATCCTTGACAATATCACTATGATACAGCGAGTAGAAGGTTCCCGGGATCTCGTGCGATCGCGAGAGGGAACTGTTGAACGTCTAAAACAACTTTCACCGCCAGTAAACAGCCGATCGGAACCTGAACGCGTCTTTCGAGAGAGAACTCGTTCTCGCGAACTCGGATTCGCGATCTCTTTCGATAACTTTCACTGAACAATGCTACACCGGGACAGATTAAAGATATTACCATCGCGATCCCTGAACGATAAAGTAATTGGAGCCGAATGATCGAACACCGCGGGATCGAAACAGCCTTGCCGAGAAACTTTGACTGAAAGATCGCGAATTTTTCAAACGGCGCCAGCCGAGCCGGGGAAAAACGATTTTCGGCGGTAAATTCGAACGGTCGCGGGCCTAGTTTCGTTACGGGGATACGCGGAAGAGATGTTTCAGTGTACTCACCGGCAAACACAAAGAGGGATCCAAGGAGGAACAGGAACTTCGGCGACATGGTGATCGTCGTCGTCGGGACAAAGAGTGTCTGAACAAGCCGCGCCCTCTCGCCCCTCTATATGTGCACCACCACTCCTTCCTCTTCGCTGAAGGACTTTCACCTTCCGGATGGTGCTGCCACCTTTTCCACGTCGAGAATCGGCTCCATCCTTCGAGACCGAGAACAGAGACCGCACGACCAATTCCTTTTTGCCCCGATCTCCCAGATTTCCTGCGTTTGCCTCTTCGTTAGACGAATTTAACAGCCAAAATTGTTATCTACCCCTTCGCTGGTACACAGCTGTTCGACTGATCCTGGATGTATTCGTATAAATATATTTATTTATTATTATTGTTATTATTATTTATTGGCAAACGGGCTTGTATACATAATAAGAGCAGTACATTATACGCATTATGTTACCGCACTAGTGATAATATTATTATTATTATTATTTCTTAATTAAGCGGATGAAATACCCTTTAGATTATAGAATATGATATTTGTAATGGTTAATTCGAAAATACATGTAAATTGCTACGGAAGTCTATGCAATTGACGTATACATATTTCTATAAAATTACGCGAAAACGAAGAACAGTAAAACGATTATTCGCATTGTTATTCGAATGATTTTACAATCTTTAATCGAATAGTTTATTCGAATAAAGAATTATTCGAACAAATAGATAGAATAATTTATGACGAATAATTATTTACTCGAAACACAGTTCTAACAATGCAGAAAATTTTGATCTGTGAACACGGAGTCTGCGAGATGAACAAAGGTTAATGATCTGTGATCGAGTAAAATTAATTATAGGAAGTGCAAGAGCTACGGAGATCTAGAACCGATCCCGCCAGCCGAGAAAGTCTCCGCGATCATCCGAAATGATTGGGAAAAATTCTCGTGGCCCGAATATCATAACTTCTGTTCCACTTTCTTCGATTCCCCTAGTTTTCTAGCGAGACCAATTACCTTTGTCTCGATTATTCGAAGAAATCGAGGCTGCGATGACTATTCAGGAGACTCGCGCCTCCGTTTCCTTCGGTAAAATGATTGGATCGTCGCCGAAAAATCGTTCGATCGCAGAAAGCTGTAAAGCCACCACGAATCGTCAATTATAAATTCGCGAGCGAGCTTTCCGATGCGCGTCGAATAAGAAAAAGCAGCCGTCCTCCTCCCTGGCCCGTTCTTCGATTCTTTCGCGAACGCGGCTTTTGCGCAACGCGTTTTACCTACCGAGGTTCGCCGGGATGCGCCCGGTGGCCAATAAATTTGCGGTTTACGCGGTAAAAGGTTACCGACGTCGCTCCCCGCGAAATAACTTCTGCGAGACGAACTATTGCGATAGAACACGCCGCAATCCGACGGGAACGATAATGACCACGCTCCTATCGATTCGGTTTCTATTCATAGAAAACGACGGGTGCACATCGAAAAACCCGTTCGACGACTTCTTCGAAAATATGACAATCGTTTGCGACGATACAAGGGCCTGCTGCTATCCCCTCTAGTCAGCTGGATCATTTTTTGGCTTCGCCTTTTCCCCTTGGCGCGCCATTTTTCCCCCTGGACTCCGAACACTTTTATGCAATTTAGATGTACCATCGAGCATTTTTTAAATACTACTGCAATTATTTTCCATGATGTGATAGTATTATTCTAATTTTCTTATTGCAACTGAGAAGACATGTAAGTAATGTTACTTGAAACGTCGCCGGACGTGGACCACCTGCCGCCATCTTGTCTCTAACGTCGCTTCATCTTCGTTACTTCATCGGAAAAGCTACTCAGACTTCGTTACAATAATTCTAATCATTCTAATAATCGCTAAAAATTCACTCCAATGAGCCGTCAGCCCGTCGTGTTTTCCAAAATCATTGCAACTTGAACATCCTGTGAAGAATTAAGCAAAATGTAAATTCTAGCAGACGTGCACCACGAACGCTTCCAGGAATGACGCTATGGACATGAACGCTTCGTATCAAACTGAAATTCTACTTCTAATTCCTCTTCGTGAAAAAAAAATTGCCGATGTTCCTGCGACCAGTCGAAATCTCGAGAAAACGCCGTGTCAGCCTTGCACGGTAAATAATAGATTCCGAATCTCGTCGAGTCCAAATCAACACATTCCGGTCCCCCTGATCACCTCCGAAAGTGTTTCCAGCAATCGGCATTCTCGAGATCCATACCTGCGCGCGAAACCCGAAAAGAAATACGGCGACACAGTCGCCGGTCGAATCCGATTTCGAGGTCTGGTCAGGTGTAACACGTTTCGGCGACGTTCACGAAATTTCTGCGAAACCCGCGCGCCGGAAAACAGATTCACGGCACGCTCGTTCCCAATAACGGTTGCGACACCCGGGATTTGCGTAGACCGGTCGAAGTTGAGATCGATTCGGCCGAGATCGTTCAGCGCTGTAGTCGTTCGAGAGACCGGCAGAACCGTGTTTCACTTTTATCTCTCGACACGGTCGTTCCAACTTCCAACGGCTACGAATAATGTCCGCCGAGGACGGGGACTCTCACGGAGCTACCGAGGGATATCAATAAATCCTGAGATAAGGGGAACCTGTTGCAGATAATGGTTAATAACAGTATCGTGTTCGGCGCCGGGGACAACCACTATGAATACCTTGTCGGCCATCTTTGACCTAAGGTCGCTGGATAAGCCTGATTATGGGAAACAAAAGCGTGGAAACGTTGAGAGATTACGGTGGAATAAGCTGGGAATTCGCTGGGAAATGAATGAGGCGGTGGCTGTTTTTCTGACGGAGTTGCAGGATGTTCCAAGTAAAACGCTGCCAAGAAAACATATTGTTAGAGGCGCAAGGAGTAGTTTTAGGAGAGGCTGAAACGCGAATACGGGGAGCGAATTGTCGGCTGTTTCTCTTTTAAAGTAATCTAGACTAATCATTTTAGTTCCAAAACTGTTCCGGCACCAAAAGGAATTCGTTAATTATTTTTAATCCGTTGGATGTCTTCGTGAATGCAAAGTGGAGTCGCCGTTTAGTTGTCTCTTAAAGGTCATTTTAGTTTCTAAACTGTTCTAGTGCCAAAAGAATAAATAAATCTACAATCGCTATTTCACGGAAACGTTTTAATCATTCTTTCCGCATGGTGTTTCTCGGCAGTGATTTAGAATCGCTCGCGAAAGATTTATTGTATCAATTGTTTGACAGAGCAGGATGCAATCTGCGAATCTTTTCCCGGTGGAGGCGCAATTAACAATGGGAACGAAGTTTTAGCTGCTTTCGTGGCCGCGCTGGAGCGGAAAGCAGGCTGTCGAAACGCACGAATAATTTGAAGAAGGCATATTAGGCTGATTTTTATAGTTCGCTCGGAATGCGGTACGAATGACGATGTCGAAACCGAGGCCTGGTAATTCGGTGAATCATTCGGAGATAGGTGCACGAAAGGCTTCGGGTAAAAATAGACTAATCATTTCAGCGCGAGCACATACTTGGCGTATTCGAGGGAAGATGTGGAAAGATACATGGGAACAAAAGCCGTCGCTGTAGTGCTGCGCGAAATTGGGGGAACTATGGAAACTGGCTGGATTAATGGCCAAAGAACGAACGATTCAACGACTCTCGAAATTTAATTAATTAGGCGCGTATTCGTCGAAACGGTGTCAAATATCGCCGAGAATCGCTGAGAATCTTGACCCTGCTTTTCAGTCCTACTTTGTTCCGGTATTTTTTAATAGTTCAACCGGCACGAGAGTTCCATCCAGACACCATCATTATTTTGAATCGGATGAAAGCTGAGTGAATTCATTCTTCTCGGGGCCTACCAGACACAAGGAACTTGTTGCAACAACTTTCACAATTTCTATTGCATCGGATCACTGTTCCAACATTATGCAATTTTTCCGAGCACTGGAACGATTCTCAACGATTTAAACGGAGATTAATAATATTCATTATAATAATATTTATTTGTTGTCCCTATTCGTCCACTATTCTGAACAAAGTCAAGCTGAAACCTTAATCGGATTATAGTGGTTCCACGCAATGTTAAGCAAGTCATCATTAATATATATATATATATATATATATATTAATATTAATGCAATTATTTAAAAATTCAGGCAATCCTCTGATAAAGCTCGCCAAGTTCGCGATATTTCAACGTATATTTATTTGCATTTATTGTAAATGTATAAGTGACAGTAGTCAGCAGTTCGGTCAAGGGTTAAACCTGCAGTTTCCTTAGCACAAAGGAGTCGCGATCGAACAAAAGCACGAAGGAAGTGGAGTGTGACTCGATCGTCGATCGACAAGGGACAAAAACAGTTCCTATCCAGAGAACAGAAAAGCCCGGTAATCCGTGGGGCACAAAGAGCGCCAATGATTCACGAGCCACCGCTCGTAATCTGATTTCTCGCGTTGCCGGCGCGTCGCGACGTTTCCATCGATCCCGCGGAACCCTGTAATTCGCGAATTAAACGAGGAAACCGGCGTTTCCTGGTCGTTAATCACGGAACACGTGTTCTCTTGCCGGGCTCTGTTTCCAGTTGTCGATAAAAAGAATCGCCGGCTAAGGATAACTTGTTTAGCATCGCGACAACCGTAAATCAAATCTCTCTTTTCCACGTCGGGATTAATAATTGCTGATAAATATAACGATGGTAGTTGCAACAGTGACAGAAGCTTTATCGCAAGACGATGCCACTCTCTGCGGTCTGTATAATTGATCATCGTGGCTGCCGATGGTCGCGGGCGTTTTGCCGAACGAATCAGCTTCGTCTTTAAAATTGTTTCTTTTGTTGGAGATCGCGGGAATAGAAACTCGTAAAATCCGAGATTGCAGGCACCGCCGTACGGCCTTCGAGAGTGAATCGAAACTGCAGTGCTCTGGAACCATCGAATGTCTTCTCGTTCCATTTCGTTTCGTTTTATTGCTGTTCCACTGATAACTTCAACTCGTATGTTCGATCTTCGCGCACTTACGATACACTCGGGTGGGAATATTGAGCCAACTAAATATTCTCGTAAATTCGGGCGCGGCTTCAACATTGCTTGCTAGCAAAATGTTCCCCGATACAGCTTCATTACTTTTATGATGT